ATCTCCTGAAATCCAGGTATTCTTTGTTGTAATAATCGTTGTTTGTCTGTTTGTGATATTTCAGTGTATCCTAACTTGTTTAATGTCAATCATTAAGAAGTGTCAAAAAGAAATTTGGAAATACAGTAATTAGTAATTGCAGGGATGCAATAAAAACAAAAGGAGGGCATGTCAGAGATTGATTATAAGATTGATTATAGAATAGAATAAAATCATAGAACTAGAATGTAGATTCAGCTGTGTAAACACAGCTGTGCTAAGAAACCATACAATGTGTATGTGTGCAATTGGGATAGAAATTAATTGTATGGATTGTATCAAACAGAATTCACAAAAGAAGTCGAGACGACCCTGAAACCAAGCAAGCCCTGAAACCAGCGAGGGAGAATTCTACGAAGACAGAAAAATAGAAAGAACTTAAGTGATGTGCTTAAAGGAACGGAACGGTTGCTTAGAAATTTATGAAGATTCTAGACTTGGTGTAATCGGTTTAATGAATGTATATAAACTGGTCTAGCGAGTTAAGCTTTGCCACTCACTGAGGTGATGGCCCAACTCTGAGTTGTGAATAAAGCAATACCTAGTGTAACCCACTCGTGTGAGGATAAAATCTTTAACAGGTGTCAAGGGGAAAGTAGCAGGGTCAAAGAGAGTAGAGTTATGCTCTGTTTAAGGAGGACTATGGGTACGTATGGGTCAGAAGAACAGCTAGTAGCTGCAACAATAGGATACTGAAACAGGCAAAGTAAAAATTGAACTCATCCAAGCAACAAACTTACTATCTCAAGTCAACACGATCAATTATAGTGGTAATAAAAACAAGATAGAAAATTTAGCACACTCTTGGCTAAAAAAAAAAAACAACAACACAAAAACCAAACACACACACAAAACCAAAACACCACCACACCAAAAAAAACCTCACACTACATTCTTGCTTACTCTTCCACCCCTCAAAACAGAAACCTGAAATACTATAGAGAAGGGGTGTGGGAGGTAGGGGAAGATAACATCCTATTGATCAGCTAGGGATTTAAGTAGCAAGTGTTTTAACACAGTTAAAACAACTCCAGCTGCTAAGCAACACAAAAATAAAAGAAACAATAACTTAAGTACTTATTATTTGGTTAAACAGGGTATGGAAAAGACACTAGAACAGACTCAGTACATCATTTGTTTTTAAAAAAATCCAATTAACTATTCATTGTTTCAACATTTTTCTACAAAACTTGAACCTTTCTTCTAAAAAAAAAGAGCCTATCCCTTATAGAAAAGGCTAGTCAGCACTGGTGAGACCACACCTGAGTAACATGTCCAGTTCTAGGCTCCTCAGTACAAGGGAGACACACTGACACACTGGAGAGAGTCCAAAGCCCAGTGAATCATCCACAAAGATGATTAAGGGGCAGGAGCATCTCACATACGAGGAAAGGCTGAGAGCACTGGCTGTTTAGGCTGGAGAACAGAATGCTCAGGGAGGATCTCATAAACGTATATAAATAGCTGAAGGGAGGATGCAGCCAGGCTCTTTTTTAAGGTGCCTAGTGGCAGGACGAGAGGCAATGGGCACAAACTGAAAGAAACACAGCAGGTTCCCTCTGAACATCAGGAAACACTTTTTTACTGTGATGTTGATGAGCACTGGCACAGGTTGCCCACAGAGGTTATGGAGTCTCAATCCTTGGGGACATTTGGAAGACATTTGGACATGGTCCTGGGCAACTGGCCCGAGGCTGCCCTGCTTGAGGAGAGGTGTTGGACAAGATGACCTCCAGAGGTCACTTCCAACCTCAACCATTTTGTGATTCTGTGAAAAATGAATCATACTGAAGCACAGCCAAGACAATCTCTCTTGGTAGCATCCTTACAAGATGTTACAAGCAACATAACATATAAAATTGCTAAAAAGTTGGTAGGAGTCTCTCTTTACCAAAAGAAATACAGAAAAAACAGTTTAAGGGAGTAATGGTGTAAAACAACACTGCCTTTTTTCTTTATTCGTCAACATGGAAACAAGATGATTTGGGAAAACATTTCAAGAAATACAGGATACTGAACAGAATGTAATATTCTTCAGAGAGTGCACAAAATGCATTCATGGAAGCATTAGGACAGAACTCAACCACACACCAGAATTAATTTTATCCAGAATCAGAAAGACACAAGCACAAACTTCTAAAGCGAAAATACATTTCCAAAGTCTACAATCAAGCACTTTTTCCTTCAGTCTCACAGTTCTAGTGCTAGAAGAGATATACAAAACTTTTAAGACAGGTCTGAACTTAAATTCATAGACTCAGGAAAATTAATTGTTTTATGATTATCTCAGTTTCCCTCACTACTAGCTAAAACAGCCATGGTCTGAAAATGACAAGTCATTATTTGTTCTAATAACTTATCTTCTACCCCTCCTAATCCACAGGTGCAAATATAGGCAACTTCAAGCAATTATCCTCAACCGAACTTCAACTTCAGAATTGTTCTATTTCAAACCTTAAGAAAGATTCTTCTTCCTGCAAGTTTTCCTAGAGTTTAGCTCTATACTAATTAGTCTAGGTAAAAGGTATTAACTTTCACCACAGATCATATGTCACTTGTCTTTATGCCATATGGATACAACTGTGCTACAACACAAAGTATTTTCAGAGGAGTTCAAAGTGTAGATTTTTTTTCCTTTCAACCCTGCTATTTCATCAATGTTTAGCACACTGCTTGCTACACTTGGTGAAATTTAAGACTAATAAGTTATAAGACTTCTAAACTTTTCTGGAGTTCACCAAAAAGCTTTTTTATTTTTTTTCTTTCTACTGCAGATACAGGTAACTTAAAACAGCAAATGCATTAAAATCATCCAGGCTCCTAAAGAAACAGAATAGGTTTGTGTTGTTTGTGGTAGGGGGGGTTTTTTTTTTTTTTTTTCTTGCAGTAATTGTCTTTATCATAATAGACTTCTATTCTACAAGTGTTAGGTTAACAATATGAAATTATTGGATTTAAATCAGAGACCTAACAAGGATGGGACTACAACTGTAACACTCCGCATCTACATTTGAAGTTTCAGTGCTGAACAAAAAAAAAAAACAGTCATATTTTACACCAACACTATATACATAAAAATGGATATCCAACCAAAGAAATCAAACCTCAGATGCAGCATATGCAAATGATAAAATAGTTTTAATCCACATAGTCAAGACAAGGTTTATACATACTGCTAATTTGTCTTATTAAACCAACTAGTATAATCAGAAAAACAAATTAGGTTTTGAGCACTTGGTCTGTCTTCAGATTCAAAGTAAAAGGAGCATATTTCAAAGTTAAATGAGTTGAAAATAATTGCTTTAATTTTTGTTAGGTCATCTCCAAAAGAAAAGATGCTTCTAGAGGACAGAAATCTTTGCTGAAGGAGGAAAAAAGGAGAAAGTGGAATAAACTAGTTACCTCTAGGAGAAGCAAAAAGCTTATTGTAAGCCATTACGAAAGTAGCAATGAACCACAAAAAAGATCATCTTTATGATGTCTGTAATTATTGGCATCTAGCAGAATAACACATTTTAGTTCCCAGAGCTGGCTTTAGAAAAATGTTGTTAGTTCTGCCTCGGGAATCACAACAAACATAACAGACAGTGATTGCCTCCACAGGTAGTTATTGTCCTTTATCAGTTCTCCAAGAGTTCATTTTGATGCACAAGAATTTTCAGTTTTACCTACATGAATATTGTGAGGACACTGGGATGCTGGCTGGAATATATTACATTCTATGAAGTACAAATGTAGAATCCTGGAATTCTAATATTTCTGCTGTAATGTTTATTACAGCAGGGATGAATTGACCAGCTCTGTATTTATTGTTTAGACAAGAGATATATCCATTCTGCACATTTTAGACCACAAACTTTTTTCTGGTGACGTATTCAGTTAGGTTAAAGAGTGGTTCTGGAAATATTTCTTCCAAGACATAAGTTTCTTCTAGTACAAGTGGTAATTTTTTTGAAGAGTACGTTGCAACCAGGAGGGCACAAACTGAAGCTGGCTTTCTGTTTGGGGCTTTGTGTTGGTTTGGAGGTTTGGTTTTGTTGTTTGTGACGTGCTTGCTTGTTTTAATTTTTTAAAAACTAAAGATTCATACTATATGTTTAATTTACTGTGCAATATTTGGGTAAGTCTTCCAACAACAGTAATTTGTTTTCATCAATAATTAAGCTTATTGACCTAAAAAGATATCTTTAGACTATCAAAGCGACTATTGTTATTGTTCTCATTAGATGAGCAAGACACATGCAAAGGCCTGACTGTATGTTGCAACAGTTTTTGGGATGTTTCAGATGATTGCTAATGCCCAGCCTTCCAGCTGTGACAAGCCACAGTGCTTCTTATGGAGGCACTCAACAGTTACATCTCCTATTCAGCATTTGATGGACACATCTTATACACATGCAAAGGCCGTATGTTTCCTACTTGTACTGAGTGCACACTCAGAACTTGCACGCGTAGGTCTTCGTCTGAGGAGCCTCAGAAAAAACAGCAGCCAAGAATGGACTGCTACAATTGCAACTCACACAGCCTATACCAAATCAGTTTCATACTCATATTTTTCTAATCTCATTCCAAAGCATTTTCAGAGCTGCCAGAAAAAAATATGTATCCCAAATGCCACAGTTCTCCCACCCTAATGTACAGCACAGAGGAAACATTTGGTGGAAATAAACAGAAACTACATTATCAGGAGAAATACAATAGTATTTAACATTAAAGTTTAGAACTCAGATACACAAAACAGTTCCTCTCATCTGTCTTGTGGTTCTTTTTCCAAGCCCTGAATCAATAATGTGTTTAGCAATCATACTAATTTTAGTGCCTTGCTGCATCTGACCCTTGGTTAAAACAACAACGAAATTAACAAAGCAGCCATCTCACATAGGTGCCTAAGCAAAAAGTCCAGTAAGTGAATCAAGTCTGAAATGTACTAAGTAACAAGAACACATTGAAAGACTGCTAACCTGTTTATTGACTTCAGCCATTGACAACTGTAATGCCATCAGCATGCAGTCTGCTCCACATACAGTAGTCCTCTCAGAGTTTGAAAACAAAGGCCATTGTCTTCTGAAACTCTTGATCAAGTTTAACAGTTTTTGCCGGAAAGCAATCATTGTCTAGAGTAGAAGATATAAATAATGAAAAGAAATAAAAAATGAATACAACTATGCAAGAGGCCTACGTGCATCTTCACCTTCCAATAAGCTGTGCGAATCCTGTTGTATCTTCTCGTAGATGAAGTTCCAGGAATAAACTCTTCCTACTAAACTGAAAGTCTTATGAGATTTGCCTCACTACAACAGAGTAAGTAGTTAGAAGTGTTTATGTATGACAAGTCTTCATGAAGACCCCTTACTTTCCTTGCACATTATGCCAATATAAGAGAATAAACATTATCACAAATATGACAGTCTTTTGTTTCTGCAAACAGCCAGTCTGAAAGCCCCAGTCTTTGGTACTATCCGCATTCACTATACATTCAGACCCATCAGTGTTTTAAACGTGGAAACAAGAAATTTAGTATTTCTAGGCTATACTAACAAAGACCTCTGTAAATGCTTTCGTTGCCTATATAGTTTTTTTTTCCTCATTCCATAAGTCCTTATCTCCCATACTTTCCTTGGCAACGAGTTTCAGTAACAGTTTTGAACGTGACCACTTTGCTTTGGCCTTTTCCACCTTCTTGCATTTACCAAGACACAGGTACACAAGACTCTTCAAAAAGTTCGCCTTCTTTAAGCCTGTTCTTTCCTGAAACACCGTTCCCTAACACTGCAGACAGTACGGGAGCGACACTCCTACCACCTGCTTTCAGAACACCAAACCAACCTTTCCCTTTCTTTCACCAAGCGAAGGCCCAGCCCACAGCAGTTTTTCTGGTGACTGACACGACCAGGAAAAACGACGAAGCACAGGAGAGGGGCAGGGAAAGCATGAGCCATCAGCTGACAAACAAGACTGTAACAGTTACTGCAATTACTTACTCTCCAAAGCGTTTGAAGGGGACAACCTACTTTATTGTTTTACGTTGACATGAAAAAAACACACAAGCCACAGAGCAAAAAATTGCTAGGCAGGTGCAGGACAGCGCGAGGCAGACAAAAATCCCTCCGGACACATTCCTCTCTGGCTCTGAGATGCTTCCAGGGGACACCACCT